TAGCAGGTTGCTGAGGGCCATGTCCAATCTAGTCTTGAACACTTCCATGGATGGAGGTTCCATAACCTCTCTGGTCAATTTCTTCCAGTATTTTACCACCTCCATGGAAAAATTATTTTCCTTATAGGTAATAAAAATTTCTCATTCTTCCAAATGACATTCATGCCTCTCATCCTATTGCCACACACTTCCAAAAGTCTGGCTCCAGCTTCTCTATATCCTCCAGCCAGCTAGCTGATCCTTCTCCTCCCAAGATTGAGCAAACCCAGTACCCTCAGCCTTTCCTTATACTTCATGTGCTCCAGCCTCTTCTGCTTCTTGGGGACCCTTCACTACATTCACGGAATCATGTGGCTTTATCAGCATCTTTCTGTGGAGCTCAAAACTGGACACAGTACTCAAGATGCAGTCCCACAAATGCTGAATAAGGGGGAATGATCACTTCTTTGTGAATAAGTTCATGAGATTCTTTAGGATCAATTTTTTTCCTTTTTATTTGCATTTTAATTTTGCACACAGATGTGAAAAAACCTCACAGTTCTCTACGCAAATTCCTTTTTATACCAGTGGATAGGGCAGTTATTTAACATCTTTATCTTATCCTAACATTCATCTGAAACAAGGGCTCATTCACATCACTGCTACCACTAACTCACTCTAACAAGAAAAACTTCTGGTATTTGTTGCACTCATCTTTGTAAGTGTGCTCTCCCAAAGAAGTTACACTAACCTGAATTCCAGCAAAAGCATCTGTAAAATCAAGAGGAAGCCATCATTCCCCTGCATCCTGAAGCATCTCACAAGATGGACCTACAAGCAGTATGACTGCTCTCTCTAAAAAATAACAAACACAAATCACAGGTCCACACAAGCTGTTTTTAGCAAGTACACACCAAAGCTTTCAGGGGAAAAAAAAAGTCTACGCTGCTTGTTTTAATAGCTGTAAGAATTTGGGACTTGTGACAGTTTTAAAGGAATGCAAATCCCACAGTCCTCCCACTCTCTTCAACCAAACTATTCCTTGTCTTCCTGAGGAAGTAGTAGGAGACCTTGTTTACAAAAGCATGTATACAATAAGCTATCTGGAAATTGCTATAGTATGCCATTTAAAGACCTTCTAGAAGCATCAGGGAAATCATAATTTGTTTATATCATTCCAGCTCTTATCTAACTGACTTGGAGATACCGCACACAACAGAACTTAAGAACTTGATGTCTAAAACTGATATACCAATTATTTTTTTTAGTTTGAGATTATTTCTTCTTCCACTTCTAGAAGCATAACAGAACCATTCTAAGGTGAGAAGCTCAATTAAGGAGTCCAAAAAAACACATTACCAAAAAACGGTTCACAATAATAGGTAGATTCCAGTAAGTTATCATGGAAAATAAGGGCACCTTGTCCCATTAAATATGTCCCAAGCTCCCCATTTTAAGCAAGAAAATTATTTTTCAGATGCAGTATTAGAAAACCATTAGCTGTTTGCTTCAGAGCAAAACACTCCAATGGAGAAATACATTCCAGTTCAAAATTGCATTGCAGGAAGAAAAAGCAATTTTCCCTGCACCCTTTATGATTCCCACAAGTGTCTTGATAGTTCCTAAATACCATTTTTCTACTGAACTAACTTAACACACTCTCCAAAACACCAGAAGGGACATAAAAAGCAGAATCATGCACAACTTGAAGAGGTAACTTCACTCTACTTTTATTTAGATTTCCTTTTTTTCTTCTGGCTGTGTTCATTTCCTCACATCACAATACCCTTTGAGAAGTCAGGCTTTCATCTTACATAGTATAGTATTACACTGAAGCATTAAATCAGTTTTGAACCCACCCATAGATTACTGTTCTTCCTAACCATGCACTCCCTTAACTGTACACAGCCAGAAATAAGTTACCTACTTTTCTCCAATATCCCACCATTTTTAATTGCTAGATGGTTCTTCAACCTCTTTAATCAAGGTGCTTATAGTGAGATTGTTGCATTCACTGAACTTGAATCTCTAAACAGATTAACTGTTGGCAGAATTAAAGTAATTTGAAAATAGGACTTCCTAGGAAAGCAAAAGAACAAGCTGTTACTTATCATAGTATTTCATCAGAATGTTTTTGTTTTTGTTTTTTTTTTTTTAATATGCTGAAATGTTAACTTCAAATGATTACTGTCCTAGCCACTGATGATATTTCATTAATCTCCAAGGTAGCCAAAGTCAGTTACTGCACAGTCTTAGAAGGCAGCACTTTCCCCTCTCCTCTTACCAAGGGGAAGGTTTAGCAGGTCACATCCCAGTAGGAGACAAAGTAATACAACCTATTTAAAAATTAAGGCGAACAATTTCATCCTCTTCTGCTCATGCTCTACATTAAACATCAGTCATTATCTCTGGAAGGAGTTATAAGGAAAGCCTGAAACCCTGTGTCATAAGAATAATACCCTTGAATCTAAACTTTTTTTTTTTGGGGGTGGGGTGGGGTAAAAAAACTAACCAAAACAAACCAAAAAAACCCCAAAACTTACTCAGGGAACCACAGCAGACATGTCCTAGGTAGGGGGAGACTCATTTTACATAATAAAAAATGGGTAAAGCTTTCCTGCACAATCAAGCCCTATAGGAGGGCACAGTGATGTACTACCCTGTCTCTAAGTTCTCCTCTTGGAAGCTCCAGGCTTTTCCAGATAAATCACCACTAATTGCGATACTTCTTTATACCAATGGCTTTCCTTCCCCTTCCCATCAATATATTCATTTTACCTAGACCTCTTACTTCTCTCAAGGACCCCATTATAAGCTTTCTTGCAAAAGCACCTGTTTTTTTTCCACTCATCCTTACTTCTATGTTTTTTTCTACTAAGTAGGAATTGCGCTCTCACATGTAAGCTGCCTCCTTTTTGGTACTTGATTATTTTGCATTTCACAGATCTCTTCACTTGCAGATTCTCATGTGTTGTATGTGGTATCTACATAGTATAGAATACACATACACAGTCAAATATATTCAACACATGGTAAGCATTAATGTGTTCCCATTCTCCAGTGTAATGGCCCAACAACGAAAATTCAAAAGCCAAAAGGCCAATCACATAGCCAAATCTGTGATATATCATCAACCACACCTTTGGTAGCTCTAAGCTCCTACCACTTATGTTATCTGAGAAAGCTGTATGTGGCTAGTACCCCTAAACAGTCACTTCTTCCAGTCAGGTTCTAACATTTAGACCTTCATTTTGAAAGTTTGCGATCTGGCCCACAAAAAAATCACAGAGAAAAAAATGCAAGACTCCTAATTATAAATCTCTGCTTGACCAACAAGCAGCTGCCAGAAAGATACAACACTTTTATACTCTTCTTACATCCTCTAACAACGCCACAACACTTTGTTTTTTTGCTAAGGTTTCTCATGACTGCTTCTCCAGTGTGCCTTCCCCGCCCTTTAGAAATCGTTATCTCAAACACTTCAGGCCTCCGAGACATATTTCAGCACAGTACCACACACGAGCTACAACCTGAGCAGAGTATCTGATGAAATGGCAAAGTTTTTAAGCTTCCTCAGTCTGACATTGATGTTTTTTTCCATTCACATGCTGTACTTCCTATGTTTTCCAGATACACTGCTGAACAAATTCCTTGAGGAAAAAGCTTCCTTACCTCGCTTTTCTGTTGTTCTGAAGCAGAACACATAACTGTACCCAGATCTTCTTTAAAAAGTACAGAGGAAAAAAACCATTCACAGAACACTCACCACCACCACGCTTGGTCTTAGTGCAAAGATTTACACCTATGGTTTCATAGTCCACAGTGCCTGGTGTTTGCAGGGCAAGACTACTAGTGCCATAGCTCCCTGAAGCAGTACAAACTGACACCACTGCCAAACAAAGGTATTGTACCCTCCTTTTCCATTTGTTCCCTTCCAATACTATGCTATCGCCTCCCAAGTGCCAGGACAAGACTATAAGCATCCATCCAGTGAAAGAAATAGAATAAGTGTCTTGGCTTAAAGTTAGCTCAGGGGAAAAAAAAACAAAACAAAACAAAACCAGAACAACCTAGTTTTATCCTGCATCAGTTCTCAGTCTGGTTCACGCAGTGACTACACAAGCCTAACCTAAAAAAAAAAGAAGGGGCAGCACAGGAATGAAAACAAGGAGTAACAGGAGGGGTGGACAATGAAGGAAGGCTTTTCTCAAGCAGATTTAGGTGTCCAAAGAAACACTACCTATTCCATTCTGCTGGGATTGCCTTCATGAGAACCATCAAGTACCCCACAATGTAACACAAAAGTTTAGCGTTTTGCAGAGAAACGACTGGAAGTCTGAAAGCACAAACACACACTCGCATCACAGGGCGTTAATACAGCTGGATGGGAAGTGCTGCATCAGCCTTTAACTCTTCTGTAGAGGGACGTCCCTGCTCAAGGCTACTTCTACATGCAGCCCCGTGCCTCGCACCTGCAATAGTAAGAGGTGAAGAACAGCACTAAAATCTTTTCTTCTAAGGCACGGACCTATTACATTATGGTGAGGTTTAAGTTTAAAGCTCTGCTGCTAACAGCAGCCTTGCAGCGCAGGTGCAGCAGTGACTGGAGGGCCAGGCGTTTCCCCTGAGGTTACCAGCCCGCCGAGGCAGGCCCGTGCCCGCGGCGCTGTCCGCCCTCCCCCGCCAGGGCTGGGGGCACAGACCGGGCCCCCGCCGGCCACACAAGTTTTGCCGAACTCGCCAACAGCCCAAACCTCGGCGGCTTTCCCGGAGCCCGCCCGCCGCCGCAGCTCCAGGCTCCGCAGCCCACCCCGGGGCGGTGGGGGGAGCACCGGCGGCTCGCACGGCGGGACGCGGCAGCGCTCGTCTGGAAGGGAGCACCGGGGACCGCGCCGCGGGTGGCCCCGCCAGCTCCGCCCGCCACCCGAGCCCCCAGAGAAGCGACAGGCGACCGCCTCCCGCCCGCCCGCCCGCCCCTCGCCGGCCCCGCCCGGGCGGCAGAGGGCGCCCGCCGCGCACACCTGGGTGTCGGGCGCCGGCAGGCCGCGCACGTAGCCGTTGCGGAGCGCGCCGTGGGCCGCGCCGCTGCAGCCGTTGGCGCGGGGCTGCGCACCCGCCGCCGCCGCCGCCGCCGCCCGCTCCGGCCGCTCCATCCCGCTCCGCGCCGCGCCCGCTCCGCCGCCCCCGCCCGGCCGCGCCGCACCGGAAGCGCGACCCGCCGCGTCCCCCAATCGCCGGCGGATACGTCACGCCCAGGGACGGGCTCCGCAACAACGACGCAGCGCGCGTGCGAAGCGGGCGGCAGAGGCACGGGGGGAGAGGGGCGGAGCCCAGCGGACGGGGCCCAATGAGAGCGCCGCATGCCAATCAGGTGGGCGGGGAGCGAGGCGGAGGAAGGGGCTTGCCCAACCGCAGGGCAGAAAGTGCGGAGGGAGGTGGAGCCAGGAGCTGAAAGCTGTCCAATCACTTGGCTGAAATGGAACCGGGAACGAAGAGGAGGAGATGAGCTGGCCAATCGCAGGCCGAGGTGGAGGGAGGGGCAGGCGCGAACAGCGGGGCCCGCCCAATGCCCGGACGGCGGAGCGGGGCGGTGGCCGCGGCGGCAGCCAATGGGCGGGGCGCCGGGGCGGGCTCGCGGGGCAGGGTGTGAGGGGATGGCGCGTGAGCGGGCTTGCGGCGGGGTGTGCAGGTTGGTGCCGCCTCCGTTACCGATGGCCGCCCTTCTCCGAGGGCACCCCGGTCACCGGAGGAGGAGGAGGGCCAGAGCGTGAGCGAGGCATCCGGAGAGCCCGGCGCCTGCCCTCGTGTCTCGGCCTCGAGGGAGCTGATGAATGAAGCGGTTCCAAGACCCCGGGGGGTTCCCCCGCGGCGCGCAGGCCGCGGGCTGTGTCGCTATGGGCTGTGTGAGAGATAAGGCAAACCAGAGCCCCTGGGTGAAACTCTGAATGGCTTTTTAGGAGGCCAGACTTAATTACTGTAATGCCCTTTCCTACCTGGGATCAACCTGGGAGAGGTATTCTGGCTCAAGGCCACCTGGCTAATGAAGGACCTGATAGCAAACCCTGCAGATGAACTCCGGGCAGAGCTTAAGTCAATAGGATTTAAATTTGGGCTTAAAGATAGATGTATGCCTGGCTGCCTTGCTGAGCTAGTATCCCTGATAGCTGAAGGTGCCAGTCTGTTAAATCTGCCCGTGGCTGTGTTTAAAAATCATCATATATTTGGCTATGACTTTGAGTATTTTCTGACAGGGTTGGGAAATACATGCTTTCTCCAAAGACTGGCTAAACTAAGCACTGTGTTTAGTTCAGGGGTAGGTGTTACCAATCTGAGTAAAGTTTGGGTTACCAAATACGCAGATAACACCAGAGGGAAGGTGCTCTGCAAACCACAGAGCATCTGTATCTGTGCACTGTCTATTATACAAGTTACCTACATCTTTGTTGGAGTGGGAAGGGAAAGGCATCCAGAGGTTTCGGAGTTGCAGGAGTGTTAGTGGTAGAAAGGAAGCAGCCTAATGTGTTCATCACATACTAAAGGCAGGGAAGACCATGACCTTTGATTTCTCTAGCACAATTGAGAGGGAAGGGCTGTGGTGTTTGTAACTTCAAACAATCAGAACAAGTCTCAGTTAACACAATGGAAAGTTAACAGGTTTAAGCAGAAGAGTTTGAGAGAATTGTCTCCTCCTTTTCTTTCTGATTTGCTACTATTGATAGTTATTTTTTCTGTGTTACCGTCACATCTTGGAGCATGTCGTGGATCTCATTGCAAATTCAATATGAACATAGAGTTCCTAACAAAAGTGAATTAATTTTTGTGAAAGACAGCAATTTTTCTTCCCTCGGGAAGACCTGGGAGAGCTTCGCAGCCTGGTGTCAGCCTATGTGAAGGCAGCAGTATGTGTCCAGGATGTTTCGCATCTCTGAGTCACCTTTGGACAAAAGGGCTTTTTGCAATGAGAGATACAAACACAGGCTCAGGGGTAACAAGCACCTTGTTCCTTTTCTTGCTGTCTGTGGCCACTCCCATATCCTGACTGTCACCGAAACAGGTATGGACTTGCCCGAGAAGCATGCCTTCTTCACCTGGTTTCGGTATGCAGTGAGACAGAGCTATCACAGCTAAGATGGGATGAACTGTGTCCCCTCTCTCATGTTGTGGGACTGGAGCGTGGGGGAGACTGCTGTTGCTTGGATCGACCTGGTGATCAAAGCAACAAACACCCGTGCTCAGCATTTTGGTGCATCTGCAAATGGACTTGCTTCAGTGTAGGTAGGTGTGATGGTGGGGAGGAGGCACAGGGACCTTTGCTGCTCAGCCTTTTCTGGATAAAGAGGGAAGATCTTTTGCAGAGTTCAAGTGATCTGTGAGGATATGAACAAACAGTATAATGAAAAAGAAAACAATTGAGCAAGTGAGAGAGAAGTGTACTAGGAGACCACATACTGTAGAACATTTTTTGTAGGATTTCTTCCCCTGCTGCCATAGTTGGCTGTTGGCATTTTCCTCCTGTCTCCTCTCCCTTTGGCCAGAATGGATTGAATTATACTGACCAGTTTGTGCTGTGGGGTACAGGTCGTCCACCAGCCTACGCTCACAGGGCAGCACCGGAGGAGTTTAATCTGCTAATGCCTTAATTCTAGAGAGGGTGAGTTGCTTCACCTGCCAGGTACTGGACCTCACTGCCATGTTATCTGTTCAATTAGAACCCAAACTCCTTCCACATGTAGGTATCTGCAGACTGGTTACTTCATCTGTCCTTAAACCCAATTAGAACAAACCTTTACAATGAAATGGTTTCAGTTTTGGATTAGGAAACATGGGAAGAATAAACATTAAGGGACCCACTGGTTAATTCGTGCAGGACTGGGCTGTGTTACACCGTGGCTGCAGTGCTCCCCTGCTCATGGGACCTCATCGTGTTGCCAGAAGCCACCCTGCCCTTAGCATGGGGCCAGCATAACCTGGTGTTTGAGGGGCATCTGACCCCTTCTGACACAGTGCAGGAGCTAGGGAAGGCCACACTCACCCTGGGGCTGTGTGACAGAAGAGTCCAGGTTACCCATGTAGACAAGTCCCAGCATAGGGGTGCCATCCCAGGACACAGCTGCTGCCACATGCACCACCGGGCACATCCCACAGAGCTCCTGGGGTCACACCCATGGGCAGCTCTGTGTGACACACAAGATGTGTGTGTACACATATCTGCAGGTTGTGCTTCGACTACACGCCTGCAAAACAGACAAGCCAAATAAACTTGGAACAGCAAATTCCGATTCTAAGTTTCCTTTTAGGTCTCAAGGATACTGGTCCTTTGATCTGGCAGAGCAAACAGTCAACTGAATGAAGCAAAAGACTGTATTAAAGAATTTGATGAGTCAAAAGGAAGAGTGGACCATAAGCAACAAGTCAGACGGGCAGGGATTACTGCACAGCAGGCTCATATCAACAGAGAGCTTACATCACTGACATGAGTCAGTGGGTACTGTTTCTAGCCATCATTAGGTTTGGGGATCGCAGAGTAGAGTTGTGAAGTTTGGTGATGGCAGAAGGGCAGATTCAGGAAGGAATGGTTAGGTAAGCACTTCGACAGAGAAGTGTAGCAAAAAAATTTTCCTCTCCAGTGTCCCAAATGGAGAGAACAAGGACCTTCTGCACTGACAAAAGATAATCACAACTCATCACTGAGGTGTGACTAAGGGGAAGAATTTCCTTTGAGAAAGGAGGGAGTTGATAACAGACAAAATTGGGTATACGAATGATGCCAGCTACAGAGAGTCTTTATGGAAGGTCTCAAGACAGCTGCAGTCAGAAATAAACCTAAGCCTTTGACTTTTATATTTGCAATGCAGAGACAGAATAAGCAGCGGCTCAGCCGTTGTATTCAAGGCAGTTAATAGCATGCAGGCTGCTCTGAGAGGGAACAGTTTACATCCTTCAGGTGCCTTTCATCTTCTTCAGTCTCCAGGTGCACGCTGAAGTAAGCACGAAATGAGTGCTGAAGGTGTAATTGAAAAGGCTGCAGTTTGGGCAGACTGATGTAGTGCTGTGCTGTGCTGTGAGGTGAGTATTGTTTCTGTTTCCTGTTTTTCTTTCACAGTTATAGCAACCTAGGGCTGAAATTGCAGGGACTGTGCTGGGAAATGACTTCAGGGGAGCAGTGAACCTTGGTTTTTACTTGGTCAGAATGCTTGCCTGAAGCATAGGTGAAGATTTAGCAAAGTGTGGAAAACTCTTTGGGGATCTCACAGCCCTTGAATAAAGCAGGTAGCTATGAGGGTGCCCCAGGAGAATTTGTCAAGCCTCTAGCTAAACTCCATGGAAAACTGGAGAGGCCTTGGTGTAACTCATAAGAGAGTGATGCTTGGAAGGTTGGCTAGCCTGGTGTAGGAGCGATCATCACTTGTCCTCAGTGTATCTTGATAAGTAGGTTAAACTGTGAATGCCCATAACAGATTGCTTCCTTCTGGAGGAGGCAAGGGAAGACAGGTACATTTTTCTAAACAATGGAATTGGTTGGTTTAAATTTAGCTAAGCTGAGAATTGTCTTTCTTTGAGAGACCTTCCCTGTCCTTAACGCTTACTGCTATGAATGCTGCTGTTCTGGGTTCACCATAGCTTCTGTTTCACTGTCTCAGAATAGTACAATTATGGAAATAACCTCTAAAGCTATACAATGCTAAAAGCACCCTGTTCAGGCTACTTTCCCTTCTTTTTTGCAATGGAGCCTTGACTGAACCTGTCTCTGGGCACTGATTTGGACCCGGTTTTGTAAATGTGATTAACTGTTTGTTGTTCACTGTGTTTACCTGGAGAAACCAGCCAGGTTTGCATAACATTTTTGTGGTGAAATGGGAAAGGAGTCAGGATGGGAGGTTTGTGATCAGAGATGAAAGAGGCCTGAAAGGATATACCGGGGACTGAAAGATGTATACAAATATGAGTCTGGTGAGCCACAAGGAAAGAGATGTAAGAGGGGATGGGATGATACATGTAGGGTCAGGGTGTTGGCTGGCAGAATAGAGTGTGGGATGGAATCTTCTGTTTCCTTGCTCGTGGCTCCAGCTTTCTTCCAGCCAGTACCAAAGAGCTGTTTTTCTCTAGGTTTCTGTCAGAGCTGACTACCAAGATTGTCCTGGCTTTACTTGGAGCCTTCTCTATGCTTTATCTGCTTTTCCTCCTGTCTTCTGTC